ATACCATCAATCACACTAATTTCAAATTCTGATTATAAATGCTCATGAGGCAGGGTTGAAAACAGGACAACCATGTTAACAAGAGGTAGTTTGATCAGCATGAATGGGAAAAGCTTGAGGTTTGAACAGGCCAATAAACCCTTAGCAAAAAACATTTTTAAAATCTATCGCACTCTAATACTTACAGCATGCAGTATGTATCCTTTGGATTTTTTAAAAATCCAATGGATACATGAACATGTGGGGTAAAAATGTTTTTTTTGTCACAGTTCATAATATCCTGGTGGAAAGCATGGCTTGCTGGAAATAGTAAGAGCAATGATACATTGTAACATTTCTTTAAAATCCTAGTTTACATTAATATGTTTCTATCCAAGGGTGCAGGGGAACATCCATCCATCTGAAACAGTTTTTCATTTGACAGGAGAATGTGAGCATACTCAGATGGATAATACTCAACATATAAAAGAGAGAACCATAGGTCCTCCAGATGTTTTGGACTCTAATTCCCAGAAGCCCCATCAGCATGGCCAATAACAACAACAACTATTATTATTATTATTGTTATTATTATTTATTTCTTATCCGCCTCTCTCCCTGGCTCGAGGCAGGTCACAGCACAGTCAAAAACACACAAATACTATAAAAATTATGCAAACACACATATTAAAATGCACTTCCATAAAAGATATCTATCAAAGCAGTTCTATAAAATACACCTTAATCACACAGGTTAGAGATCAAAACCCAGCTTTCAACTGGCTGAGTAGGCCTGCCAGAAGAAATAAGTTTTTAGATGTTTTTTCAAGACTATGGAGCTCTTTTGGCCAGTCGTTCCACAGTCTTCGGGTGACTGATGAAAAGGTTCTCTGGGTGATGGTCACCAGTCAGGTTCTGGCAGGCTGAAGTAGCTGCTCCCCAGAGGACCTCAGTGTCCAGGGCAGATTGAATGGGAGAAGGCGGCCCTGTAGGTAACCTGGACTCAAACCATGTAGGGCTTTAAGAGTCAAAACCAACACCTTGTACTTTGCCTGGAAACTAATTGGCAGCCAGTGGAGTGACTTTAGGATAAGTGTACTATGCTTACTCCTAGATGTTCCCATAACCAATCGGGTTTTGAAACAGCTGGAGTTTCCAAACCTGGTACAAGGGCAGCCGAATGTACAAGGGTAGCCGATTGGACATTTCAGAAGTCCAATCTTGAGGTTACCAGTGCATGCACTACCAACTTCCGGTCCTCCAAATCTAAAAAGGGGCACATCTAGTGTATCAGGAGAAGCTGGTAGTAAGTACTCCTGATCATTGCATCTAACTGTGCTGACATTTGGAGAGTGTAACCCCAACCAGAACTGGTTGACATACCTCCATGATCAGATTAGGACCCTTGATGGAAAGCACCTCTGCTTTGTCTGGTTTCAGTTTCAGGTTTTTTCCCCCTCACCCAGCTCTCATACCTCCTCCAGGCATTCATTCAGAGGAGACATGCTATCCTTAGCTGATGCTGTTTTTGAAGGAATGTAGAAATATATTTGGGTGTTATGAGCATACTGAACCCTTCACCCCATGCCTATGGATGATCTCTCCCAGCGGTTTGATATATATATATTAAAAAGCATTGGAGATAGAATGGCACCTTGTGTGATACCATATAGCAGCTCCTTTTTTGAGGAGCAGCTATCCTCAAGCACCACCATCTGGAATCTGCCTGAGAGGTAAGACCAGAATGACTGCAACACAGTGCCTCCGATACCCAGCCCCTCCAGACATTCCTGAAGGGTACCATGATTGGGTTGTTGTAGGTCTTTTCGGGCTATATGGCCATGTTCTAGAGGCCTTCTCTCCTGATGTTTCGCCTGCATCTATGGCAAGCATCCTCAGAGGTAGTGAGGTCTGATTGTTGGTATCAAAAGCCACTGAGAGGTCTAGAAGCACCAACAGGGACACACTCCCCCTGTTGGTGTTGAGACAGAGATAATCCACTAAGGCAATCATAGCAGTCATAATGCAGTATCCTGCTCTGAAGCTAGTTTGAAATGGTCAAGGAAGTGTGTGTCATCCAAGACTGTCTGGGGTTGGAGGGCAACTACCTCATTGTTGTTTTCCAAGTGGTTATAATTATGCAGTGTGAATATATCCCTGTAATATCATTGATTTAACAGGTGATCCAAATTGATACATGACAAATCAACACATAGCTTAACCATCACTGCAAAACCAATTTTCAGTGTGACACAACATGTCCAATGTTGGTGGTTTCAGGTAGTATTGGAGAGTGATGCATAAGGAAAATCAATAATATAAAGTGGATAAAACAGCACATAAATAAACCCCATGTTGGCCCAAGTTCGAATGATACTTATCTGGTGGTCATTTTATGAGAGAGAGGTCTTTCTCTGGCCTTTTTTCAGAGCTCTGGACACAGTTGTGCACTTCAAAGGGCTTTGTGAACGATGCTGCTCTGAAAAAAATACTCATAAATTTTTATGAACTGAAATGCATGCTGATGCAAAAAGAAGCCTGCCATGGAAGCCAATCAATAAGAAAAACAGATACATGTCTTCCTACTCCACCTTCCTACCATGAAGGAATGTAGAGTAATCAATTTTGGGTAGTGATGGGAATGTCTGAGGCTCCTTTTACACTGCCATATACAATCCAGATTACCTGCTTTGAACTGGATTATATGGCAGTGTAGACTCATATAATCCAGGTCAAATCAGATAATCTGGATTATATGGCAGTATAAAAGAGACCTCAGTGGTTTCATGACTCTGTAAGGATTTAACTTGGAGCACGTTGACACTGAGTCTTAGGGTGGAGTGTCCTGGAACTGGTTCAAGGCCTGGATGGTACTTATATGCAATACAGAGGTTGGTCTTGAGCCAGTTCCAGAATCTCCAGTATTTGTAGCTTTACAGCCATGTAGGAATTGGGCTGGGTTTTTTTTTAACCTTCCCCTATTGCAATACACTTATAGCCAGGGTGGCACTCCCTTGGTTGGTTTTACTATGCCATGTGATTTACACTTAGGTGTGCTGATGCACATGAATGGGTTCTATTTTGGAAAATCCTCTGACTTAGTTTATCCCATTTAGAGCCTTTTAATGTGCATTGCTGTATGTGTAGTTTCACAATCACTAGCAACAAAGAGTGCTGGTAATTCACCAAACTTCAAATCTTAGGTTATCATAGCATTAAGCCAAGCAGGTGTCAAAGTGCCTTAATTCTACAGTGTGGATCAGTGGTTTCCAACCTGTGGTCCACAAGAACAAAACTATGGTCCACAAAAGATTACTACTATCATATTGGCTCTAGGTGATTAAATATGGTTTTATGTGGGTGAGCAGATAGCGACTACTGAATGACATATGTTCTGTATCAGAAACTAGAGCTGATGTGGTCTATCCAATGCAATTTTCTGAATCAGCACCTCAAATAACCAAACGAGTCTAAAATTGACCAACAACTGATTCATAACCCTTTTGGTACTAATGTTGGAGAGTGGTTCCTGGTTAAAGTGGCCCCTGGTCAAAAAAGTGTTGGGAGCCACTGATGTAGATGCACTATAAGTTTGACAGTCTTATACATACAATCAAAACCAGGTTGCAATTAATACAGATCAGTGGTTCTCAACTTGTGAGAGCAAAAATTGAGTCTGTGAACCTCCTTCCTCTTTATTTATTTTATTTTATTTCTGCTCCTTTCCGTAGAGCTGACTAACCCCACTCCTTTTGGTACTAATGTTGGAGAATGGTCCCTGGACAAAGTGGTCCCTGGACAAAGTGGTCCCTGGACAAAGTGGTCCCCGGTCAAGTGGGCCCCAGTCAAAGTGGTTCCCAGGCAAGTGGGCCCCAGTCAAAGTGGTCCCCGGTCAAGTGGGCCCTGGCCAAAGTGATCCCTGGTCAAGTGGGCCCCAGTCAAAGTGGACCCTGGTCAAGTGGGCCCTGTTCAAAGTGATCCCCAGTCAAAGTGGTTCCCAGACAAGTGGGACCTGGTCAAAGTGGGTCCTGGTCAAGTGGTCCCCGGTCAAAATGGTCCCCGGTCAAAGTGGACCCCAGTCAAGTGGGTTCTGGGTAAAACTGAGCCCCGGTCAAAGTGGTCCTCGGTCAAGTGTTCCCTGGTCAAAGTGGTCCCTGGTCAAGTGGGCCCCGGTCAAAATGATCCCTGGTCAAGTGGGCCCCAGTCAAAGTGGTCTCTGGTTAAGTGGTCACCGTCAAAGTGGTCAGTGGTCAAAGTGGTCCATGGTCAGGGTGGACCCCGGTCAAAGTGGACCCCGGTCAAGTGGGCTCTGGATAAAATTGGGCCCCGGTCAAGTGGTCCCTGGTCAAAGTGGCCCCTGATCAAATGGGCCCTGGTCAAAATGGTCCCTGGTCAAGTGGGTCCCAGTCAAAGTGGTCTCTGGTTAAGTGGGCCCGTCAAAGTTGTCAGTGGTCAGAGTGGATCCCGGTCAAAGTGGAGCCTGGTCAAGTGGGCTCTGGGTAAAACTGGGCCCCGGTCAAGTGGTCCCTGGTCAAATGGGTCCCGGTCAAAGTGATCTCTGGTTAAGTGGGCCCTGTCAAAATGGTCCGTGGTCAAAGTGGTCCATGGTCAGAGTGGACCCTTGTCAAAAAGTTTGCAAACCACTGATATAGATCAAGGTGGCACTAAGTTGTCATAAGGAAAGGAAAGTTGTCCTGGAAGGCAAATACTGTCACAAATCAGCTTTTCATTTTGTTTGTTCCAACTTGTCTTTTTCACCCCAGGAACACCTCAGAAGGAAGCTAATAATCAGGTCACTTGGGTCTCCAAATGAAACCTTTTGCCAGCATAGGTCCACCAAACCCCAAGTCCCTTCTTTTCCAGTTGCACTTTCCCTCCACAAAATAGTGGAAGTAGCAGCCCGGAGCTGGCTCCCCTCCCCTCCACCCCTTCCCCGAATTCCCGGCCAATAGAGCTTGTAATTCAATCTCTCCGCGTTTCAAGGGTAAAACCGGTATCAATTGTATTTGCCAGTGTGGTCGTCGCTCCCTTCTGCTCTCCCCCCCCTTTCCCCCCAAAAAGTCAGCGTTAAACTTCCGTTCAGTCTATGCGGACTGATGAAATGTAGGAAATCTGTTTCTGGCGGGGTTGGGGAGGAAAAAAAAAAGGTTTCCCAAAGAGAGCACCAAGTCGAGAGAGATCAGAAGAGAAGTATGAAGAGTGGCAGCAAGGCGCCTGCTGCTGCTGCTGCTCCTGGAGAACGGTTGGGGCGAGCAGAGCTGGACAGGGAGCAAGTGGAGAAGAGTGGTGGGGACACCGCGCCGAGAAAGTGAGTGAGATCTTTCCTTCTTTTTTGCATAGGGAGGGGTGGCGGAGAGAGAGGAAGGCGTGAAGCGCAGTGGCTGCCTCTTGAGCGAGAGCCCTCTCCGGGGAAGGCGCTCTCGAGAGGCTCTTTTGTGAGCCATTCGCAGAACATCTGACTGAGTGGCTTTCCCCCTCCTCTCTGCCTGAGGCTGCTCTCGCAAGGGGAGGGCACCGCGACGCCTGCCTCGTTTGTGGCGGGTCAGTGCCTCTCTGCGGGGAAAGGGCGGCGGTTTCTCGACCTTCGTGGGGTGCATCTACATTGCGAACCGATGCCGGTCGGCCCCGTTTTAACTTTTTACGGAATCGTAGGTATTCCAGCTCATCACACTAGAGAATGAAGCCACTTGAAATCTGGTTTCTGCCTCCTGCAGAATTCTGGGGTTTGTAGTTGTAGCGAGGCTGTTAAAGGCTTTTCCCTACACTACAAACCCCAGAATTCTGTAGGAGGCAGCAACCGGATTTCAAGTGGATTCATTCTCTAGTGTGATGAGGTCCAATTGTCATGTGATGAGGCTGCAGCACTCTTGGGCAGAGGAGGCTAAAGACCTTGCCAATCGACACACTTCCAACTATCCCGTAGCACTGAGCCCTGGCAGTTGAAGTGGGGCCAAACTGTACAGGGTATGTCGAGATGAACCCGTGATTTTCTCCGCTCGGCAAAGAGAGGCGCTCCCTGGGCTCACGAAGTTCGCAAACAGGAGGAAAAAACCCCGTCCGGTTTTGAACCAATGGAGAAACGGTGGCTTCCTTTCATTGGGGATGGGGCTGCCAGGAAAAGGGCTGCGTGGGTGGGGAGTCCTCCAGGGCTCTTCCCCGCCAAGGCATTGTTTCCAGAAGCTGGGTCGAGTCTTGCAGCAGGGCTTTTGCGCATAGATATTATGGGACCACGGCAGATGAGGGAGTCCGCCTCCGCTCTCAGGGCTGGACCTTGGCAGGGTCTCTTTTCCCCTAAGAGAAGCCCCGGTGCAGGAGGCAACGCCTTCCCCCCATAAGCATGAAACTGAGTGTGGAGGAGCTGGAAGAGGAATATATGAGGCACATCATGTTGCTTTAGAACGGGAATAGAACCCTTGACCATCTTTGGGAGCAACTAAATTGTAGAATCAATGCAGTCTGACCCTGCTTTAACTGACATGGAGTTGTAATTTCCCAAGGGGAGAAAGGCGGGGTATAAATAAAATAAATAATAATATAATAATACAATACAATAATAATAGTATTATTATTAGTTATTAATTTAATAACAAATTAAAGTAATTAATATTAGTTGTTAATTATTATTATTAACAATAATAGCAACGACTCTTTGTTTGCCAAAGAGTATTTATTTATTTACCCCATTTGTATACCGCCTTTCTCAGCCAGAGGCGACTCAAGCACTTTTTGGCAAACAATGCGAAATACTTTGTAAAACTACAGTCCCCAAGATTCTATAGCGCTGAGCCATGGCAGTTGAAATGGAGTCAAGCTGCATTCATTCTACAGTGCAGATGTGCCTTAAGGGGTTGGTAAACTCCAGCTGTCATCCTCCCTGGCTGGCTACTCTGTGGATGGATTATGGAGTTTCATAACATCTGGAGGTCACCAAAGACACCAAGAACCTCTGCCCTGTCCAGATATTGAATCCCAGATGCCCTCAACATGAGCCAGAGTGTTTAGTGGCAAGGATGATGGGAGCTGGAGTATAGCAATGTTTTAGAACAGGTCCATAGAGACCCACAACACATAGATTATGGAGAATGTTGTTTCTAAAATGGGGGTGCCAAATCTGTGACCCTCTAAAACAGGCCTGGGCAAACGTGGGCCCTCTAGGTGTTTTGGACTAAAACTCCCACAATTCAGAACAGCTTCAGGGCCCTTCCTTTTCCTTCCTTTTCGATTAAGTGGCTGAGGAGGAAAAGGAAGGGGTCTGAAGCTGTTAGGACTTGTGGGAGTTGAAGTCCAAAACACCTGGAGGGCCCAAGTTTGCCCAGGTCTGTTTTAGAGGGTCGCAGATTTTGCATTCCCTTTTAAGAAACAACATTCTCCATAATCTATGTGTTGTGGGTCTCTATGGACCTGTTCTCCGAGATAGGATGGACTCCCAGTATCCAAGCAACTTCCAGGTATTCTTATATTTAAACTAACGCTCCCCAAGTGTAGTAATTGACCACACATTTCGGTCTCTGGGTTCACTGTAGGGAAGACAGGAGCAAAAAAGAGATGGTTGAAAGAGACCATCAACATTGGATTGTCATCCTGATGGGAGATGTTATTTCTAAAATGTGAAGAAGTTTCTATACTCCATTTTCCATCATCCCAGGACACTGCTAGATCTGGCTTGTGTTCATGGAATCGAAACACCTGGAGGGCCACAGGAATCTTGTGTACTTGTTAACTTCCAGCTGTTGCTGCAAAACCTCAAATCCCATCAATTGAGGGCCCTTCTAGACAGGCCCTTTACCCCAGGATGTGATCCCAGGTTTTCTGTTTTTCCCAGATTATCTGGCAGTGCAGACTCATATAATACAGTTTAAAGCAGAAAACCTGGGATCAGATCCTGGGGTAAAGGGCCCTGAATAATACCAGGACGCAATCCTAGTGGTTGCCCCTACCAGCTGAGGCTTTATCTCAGGTTAAAGTGTACTTATGTGTAGGACACCATCCAGCCTCTGATGGCGTTGGCTTCCAGTCATCCCTTCCATTCATTTCGATTTGATTGGCCAAATTACGCATCTTGAATGTGGACACCCCAAAATGAAGCCATGAAAGGGGACCCAAGGTGGTGCCGCTTTCTCCGACTTTCAGGGTACAGAGTTGAGAAAAAAAGACACAACATGGTGGATCTGATAAACCTCTTAACACTGGGTGCGTTGGGATTTCCCCCCTTCCTTTCGTTCCTTTCTCTGTATTGTTCTCTGAAGATAAGTATCTGTTGAGAGAGGGAGGGAAAGGGAGGACGCGCGTGTTTCTCTGGTTCTTCTGCAGAGCTCGAGGTGAACCCTGGGGAGGCACCGGCATTTCCACCTCCCCCTCCCAATTCCAGGATGAGGAGAGAGAAAGAGGGGAGGGGGTAGACAAGAGAACGAGACAGGCTCGCTCTTTGGGGGTCTCTGTAGGCATCGGGTTACTGCCGGGCTTCTTCAGGCTGGTCCCCTCCCCCCCCCACCCTCTTGTGCGTCCCTCTCCTAGAGAATTGCAGGCTAAAAAAGGAAGGAAAGGGGCCGATGGAGCAACTCTTGGCTTTCTCTTTTCGTTCCTGGAGGGCTCTTTTTTCCTTCCTGGGAGGGGGATCCACGGAGAAGGCCTCTTTCTCCGCCGCATTGCGGGTTTCCTCCCATCTCCAGGGCAGAGAGAAGGGCCGGGAAGGAGGAAAGGGAGATCGGAGGCGGAGAGATCCATGCTCTCCCTTTCCTCGCCTAAACGCATTCACTTCGGGAGGGGGGAAGAGGAAGAGAGGGAGAGGAAGAGAGGGAGGGAGGGAGAGGAAGAGAGGGGGAAAAGGAGGGGGAGAGAGAGAGGGAGCGGAAGAGAGAGGGCTGGTAAGAGGAAGAGAGAGGGAGAGTGAGAGAGGGGGAGAGAGGGAAGGAGAGAGAGTGGGAAAGGGAGGGATAGGAAGAGAGAGAGGGAACGGGAAGGAGAGAGGGGGGAGAGAGAGGGGAAGAGAGAGGGAGAGGAAGGAGAGAGAGTGGGAGAGGGAGGGAGAGGAAGAGAGAGGGAAGGAGAGAGAGTGGGAGAGAGAGGGAAAGGGAAGGAGAGAGGGAGAAGAAGAGAGGGAGAGAGAGGGAAAGGGAAGGAGAGAGGGGGAGAGGGAGAGAGAGGGGAAGAGTGAGGGAGAGGAAGAGATAGAGAGGAGGGAGAGAGGGAGAGAGACAGAGAGAGGGAGGGAGAGGGAGAGAGATACAGAGAGAGGAAGAGAGGGGGAGAGGGAGAGAGAGGGGGAGAGAGACAGAGAGGAAGAGAGAAAGAAAGAGAGAGGGAGAGGAAGAGAGACAGAGAGGGGAGAAAGGAAGAGAGAGACAGAGGGGGGGGGAGAAGAGAGAGGGGGAGGGAGAGGGAGAAGAAGAGAGAGGGGGAGAGTGAGTGTAGCTCGTTTGAATGGGATTGAACGGGACAGGAGCTGACATTCTGCAAGGCAGTTTTCTCCCTTTCTTACGGAGATTCAGTTTGGTCGAGCTGCGTCTAGCTCTATCTTGCCCGGGCTTCCTGCCAAGCCGGCGAGAAATTGATCCGAGGAGGGAAATGGGAGTCGAGAGGCTCCCTCCGCAGAAGGGATTCTCTGCTTCTGGAGGAGACTTATGGGAGGGGGAAGCGACAGGTTGGCTGTGAATGGCGAGATGAAACGTTTCTAGACGAAGTCTATATCCCTATACACGAGCCTGTGTGTGTACCTGCCTTCAAGTTGACTTAGGGCCCTTCCACACATCTGAATAAAACCCCACATTTTCTGCTTTGACCTGCAATATATGGCAGTGTGGACTCAGATAACCCAGTTCAAAGAAAATGTTGTGGGATTTTCTGCCTCGATATTCTAGGGGTCACTCCACACAGCCCAGAGTATCAAGGAAGAAAATTCCACATTATCTGAGTGTGGACTCAGATAACCTAGTTCAAAACAGATATTGTGGGATTTTGTGCCTTGATATTCTGGGATATAGGGCTGTGTGGAAGGGCCCTCAGACAACCCAGTTCAAAGAACATATTGTAGGATTATCTACCTTGATATTCTGGGTTATATGGCTGTGTGGAAGGGTCCTTAGGGTGATCCTATGAATTACAGGTGGGTTTAAGGCAAGGAATCATCATAGGTGGTTTTGCCCCTTCTTCTGCAGTGTAGCCTTCAGCAGTGCTTCTTTGGCTCAAGACAGGAGTCCCAAAAATTTGGTAGTAGTAAAGTTTTCTGAACATCACCCTTGTGGCTGTTTTAGACATAAACACGCATCTGTTGTGCAGTGTTTACAGTGGTCTCGCAGAAGATGCTTGAGC